TGTCCGTTATTTGCGCGGTAGCCATGGCAGATAAGTCGATTGCCTGGCCAGCGGTGTGGATTGCGGAGACGCGCGAAAGAGCGTCAGCAACGACGTTATTCTGACCTGAAATGTGTCGGAGGTCAGTGGAAAATTGGGCCCCGAAATCCAGCTGACGAACTTCACGTGGTGAGTGTCGAGCTGATTGATTTCGAGAGGCGTAAATAAGCGGCTTATGATCGGTGAAGCTAACGAACGAATTACCTTCTAAGACGTGCCTGAAATGTCGGACGGTAGAATAAACTGCCGGCAGTTCGCGGCTGAACGTGCTGGACTTGACTTCTGCCGGTTGTAAGCGTCGGGAGTAGAAAGCGAGTGGTTTCCAGCATCCTTCAGTGAATTGCTGCAGGACGGCGCCAATGGCGGTGTCCGATGCATCGACTGCAACGCTGAGTGGAGCTTTGGGGTCAAAATGGCGAAGCATAACGTCTTCAGCCAAGGCCTATCGCAGGCCTTGAACGCTTCGGTTGCAGCGGGCGTCAACTCGACGTTGCCGTTCTTGTGTCCACGAAGTAAGTCGGTCAATGGACTGAGCAAGTCGGCACAACGTGGCAGAAATCGACGGTAGTAGTTGATCATCCCACTAAAACGGCGGATGGCGGCCAAAGTAGTCGGAACGGAAGAGTCCTTAATAGCGCTGACTCGGTCTTCGAGCGGCCGTATGCCATGCTGGTCAAATTCGATGACCAAGAAATTCGAAAGATGGTTGCTGACAGATGCATTTGTCAGCGTTGGTAGTAATTCTATTAGAGGCTAACCTCTCGAAAAGCATCTTGAGGTGCTCCGCGTGCTGTTCTTCGAAGAACTAGCTACTAAGATGTCGTCTATATAAGGATAAACAAAGTCGAGACCTCTCGTGACAGAGTCTATGAAGCTTTGAAAATTCTGAGCTGCGTTGCGAAGACCGAAGGGCATTCGCAAGAATTCGAAAAGTCCGAAAGGCGTGATGACTGCGGTTTTCGGAATGTCATTCTCGGCTACGGGGATCTGGTGGTAAGCGCGAACCAGATCGATCTTCCAGAACACACGGGCGCCACGTAGGCTAGCCGTGATGTCCTGAATGTGCAGAAGCGGATAGCGGTCGGGGACGGTAGCGTTATTGAGAGCGCGGTAGTCGCCACATGGACGCCAGTCTCCTGACTTTTTAGGCACCATGTGTAGAGGCGACGTCCACGGGCTCTTAGACGGGCGAATAATGCCCAAGTCTAGCATGTGCTCGAATTCGAAGCGTGCCATTTGGAGCTTGTCTGGGTTCATGCGCCTGGCTTTTGCGAACACAGGCGGACCTTTCGTAACGATGTGATGTGTCGCGGCGTCGGTTGCGGAAGGCAACGGGACAGCAGGACGGAAGGCCTGCGGAAAACTATCGAGCAGCGTTTGCCCGACGGGTGAACTAAGTTGAGTCACGTACACGGGACTGATTGACGCGGTGTCGGTCAAAGTCCCAATGACTGCGAGGTTCCTAAGGCGATCGACTAGACGGTGTCGCTTAACGTCGACGAGCAGGTCGTAATGACGCAAGAAGTCGTGACCAAGGATAGGCGTTTGAATATCCGCAACGAGGAATATCCATTTGAAAGCGCGTCGGAGGCTGAGTTTTAGTGTGCGCGAGCGTTGACCATATACGCGGATAATGGTCCCGTTAGCTGCGCGCAATGAGCTAGTCACCTTTTCGGTCGGGTCGTTTGGATCACGCGGGAGAACGCTGACTTCGCGCCAGTATCGACGACATAGTGAACTCCGGTTCTACGATCGGTAACCAAGAAAAGGCGACTGCGTTGACCAGCCACGTCCGTCGCCCCTACGTGCTGGTCTGCCCGTTTCCCTGCTGCTGTCGTTTGAAGGAACAGGGCGGGCGACATGGTTTAGCTTGCTGGCCGAATCGTTCGTGGTACCAGCAGTAACCGTTTCTATTCGGTGATCGCGAAGGAGAGTTAGAACATGAACGCGAACGGCTCCTAGAGCATTTACAGCGGTTATGTCCGGAGGCCGAGAAGTCTGCGAATTGTCGAGTCAATGTTGTCAGCTGGGATTTAAGCGTGGCGATATCGTTGTCCGGTGACGTCTGGACCTGCGAAACCTGGCCGTCCGACTCCCAACTTCTGTCGGCTGTACCGGCCAGTTTGGATAAAGTTGCATCCTCAATAGCGCAGAGGATGTGTAGCATCTCGCGCGGAAGTCGTTGCAACCACATTTCCCGAAGAAAAGAATCATCTATCGAAGTGGGTTTAGCTAGGCTCTGTATTTTTCGAAGCAGCTGAGACGGCTTAAGATCACCAAGATGGGTTTCGTTGAGAAGTTTCGTAACTCGTTGTCGATCGGATAAGCCTGTTCTTCTCAGGACAGCTGTCTTGACTGCATCGTAAGCCTTTTGGTCGCCAGGAAGATCTAGAATGTCATCCATGTCATCGATGACATTTAGCGGAAGCGCGGAAACGACAAGGTGGGACTTGGTCTTTTCGGACCTAATACCGCGCAAAGAAAATTGCGACTTTAGCTGACCAAACCAAGACTTAGAATTAGTCTCGCGAAAAAGTGCGATAAAAAGCGTAACTGTGCAGATCTGAACGTCAGAATCTACGCGATCAGTTTCCATAGCGAGCAAAATAGCGAGCCAGCGAGATTAAATCAAGAAAATGAAAAGTGAAAATCAGACGGGTTAGCGAAAAACTTTGGCCAAATCTGAAAAGAAAGGTTAGCGAAAACTCACCGGATAATGACCAAAAGTCGGGGTCACCAATAAAGCGAGAAGCAGAATCGGTACGCTTTAGAACCAAACGCGAATATAAGGCCAACATCCGATGAGTGGAGAACACCAAAAGTAACGCTAGGAAAAATTTATTAAGTGGGGCGAAGCGCTATCTAGTGCTAAAAATAAGGCACCGGAAGAAAGCTAGCTAGGGAAAAGGTGTGGTCGCACGCGCGGAGAGCAAAGATGGCCGCGAAGCCGATGAGCGTCACGTTGTTCGCAGGCGGATGCTATGTTGACTCAAACAAACGCGAGCAACGTTCAAACAGGCGAGCGGTTAATTTGCTATGTACATTGAGAAAATATAATTTTGCGATTTTTTAATATTTTACGCAGCATGCGGCAGCCAAACTGGGGAATCTCCAAGTCACTACAACATTATTTACATTTATTACTAACCGCTCGATAACTTCCGTAGTTGCTGGTTGATGAAGCCGATTGGTAAGTTCTCCAGCATTAAATAAATAAATAAATAAATAAATAGTATATTCTCTGTAAAACGAGACACACCTCTAAAAGGCATGATCAAATAAGAGCGCTTCCTGATCAGGTATTTACCTGTATGATTTATCCAAGAAGGTTGCGCCCGTGTCACCCTTCTCTTAATGATTGGGATGTGGGGAGCAGAGGTCTCGGTGAGGTATGCTTTAAATTTCTTTCAGGCTGTCTCAACGGTGTCAGTCACGGTGATCGCGCAACCAAAGCAACCTTTGTTTGGCATTAGGTAAATTCGCTCGCCAAACATTTGGACATGCCTCAGCGGTAGCTTGATGGCACTTAGAGCATATCGATTAGGAAATGCAGACATGGTCACCGACTCCTAGAGGACAGCCGTAGGTAATGTCACTTACGAAAGCGTGTGACTTCGCAAAAATAAGATCCGAGTTAGACGGAATTTTTTTGCGCATTTATCTAGTCGTGAGTTCCACAAACCGATGCAAATGCGGTTGCAATGTCAGCTCTAGTTGGTCAGAACCGAAAGTGCCCACCGCCGACCTGCAAGCTGGATCAGCCCAACAGACTTCAAGGAGGTGAAAGTCACCCATCACTAAACAACTATTCGCAGTCTAAGTACGAAGAACTTCAATAACCAACCTGGAGATACTTCCAGGGCGTCGATATACCACTACAACTGTAAACTGAACACATGAAGCGCACACAAGAGTCGAGATGGCTTCAACCGTTTGATCCGACTACCGGAAAACACAGGTCCACAACACTTCAAGTTCACGACACACGATGAGGTTCGCCGCCACCATGGCGGCCAACGGAGCGATCACATGTAAGTAGTACGTAGCCAGGCAAACATACTTCACCGTCTGTGATATCCGGGACAACCACGTTTCCGTTATAATCAAAAGCATTGCATGCTGATCAGGGCTCAAATCGGTGCAGGTATTATTTTAAGAGCAGTTGCATACATAGCACTGCATGCGCCAGACTCGACCATCACGGGTTTTGAGCTGCTCACGCTGCAGCATACAGTATTAGACTCGCTGATCACAGCAAACGGAAGACACATTAGCGCCGCTAATAAGTAAAAATGATATGACACTTCCAAAGAGCGTGGAACAAGCGTCAAAAGGTAAAACCGACAATCTGGTACCTGCAGGGCAGTCAACGGAAAATATTACAGGTTAAAACAAGGTGAAAAACAGATCGCAAAACACAAAATTAAAAGAAAAATAGCCAGATCCTGAACCCGAAAAAATGAACGAGTTTTGGGAAGTACCAGAAAACGAGTACGACGTAATCCGGGAAAACCATAATACAAAATTATTTGGATCAAGCGAACATTGACAAGTCAAAATTTTTGAACCACACTCATAAACACTGTTCTGAAACTGTCGTTTAAAAGTAAAAATGCCAAAAGCCAGCTAGCTCAAAAATTTCAATTTACAGTGAACTTTCCGTGTTACAGTCAGTGCTTATTAGTTCGCCGAGCTTGAAAACATACTTGTTAACGTTTCACCATTACGCGAGGTGTCCTTATCAGTGCGCTGAGATGTAGACTTCAATCGCATTGAGGAACTGAATACAACACGAGCTACCATTTTCCCGAAACATTTTAAATAAGCATTGTATTTCCCCTTGTACACTGTAACACTTCTTAGTTTTCACACACTTTACATCACTTCTCATTTGATGTTCGACCCGATGTAGAGGTGACTATTGTTTTAATTTGTTGCAATTATTGTTTGCCGGTCGTTCAAAGGTTTTGGAAAGAACGTCCTCATGAGAAGAGCGAATTTGAGTATTACGTAATGTTCGCGTACCGCTTAAGGTAGTTATCTAAAGTGCATTTAAAGAAGAACGCTACAAATACACAGGAAATAAACATTAAGAGACAACATACGTCAACATTGAAATACCTTGACCTGCGTGGTTGTTAAGCGGAACTAGGTATGTCCCCTTTGTATCGTATTACCTTTAATACTTTTACTATTCAATTTACTTTTGGTGACTAGTATAGTGAACTGCTTATGGAAGTTATTATAAAGGTACATTTTATTGTATGCCTCATAAAAATATTGATGTTCCTTCCTGCGGCACGTGGGTATTGCTGAGCGTGTCGTCCTTGTTTCAGGTGTACCCAGCAACCAAGCCTTATTGCTTTCGTTGAGGTCTTGTGTGGTGTTCTCGTTGGCAATTATGGTTTGTTGATCTTTGTCGCTCATCACTCCTTTGCAGCCGGTCAGTAAAAATGCAAAAATCAGTCAACACATTAACTACCGTATCAGATGTACTATGCAAGATGGAAGACAGCTTGTCGGTACTTTTAAGGCATTCGATCGCCACATGAACATAATTTTATGCGACTGCGACGAGTTTCGTCACGTAAAAAGCAGGCACTCTAAACAGGAGAAGGATAAGCAAGAGAAGAGAGCTCTTGGCTTGGTTCTTTTGCGCGGAGAGCACGTTGTAAGTCGTTTGCGCCCTTTGATCGCGTGTGTTGCTTTCTTGCTTTTTCACTACTACCAGTTTTCGTATAGTGCAAGATGGGTGACAGATGAGCGTTTTGCTTGCAAGGATTTGTCACTCATCGGGCCGTTGCTAGGAAAAAAAGCGTTTTACCGTCGAAACTCCTTTGGTTTCGCTCCCTATAAAAATAATCCAACCTTATTGGCTTTACGTTATTGCAATTCCGCGTATCTTGCGGTATACAAAGTACACTGTATTAAAAGCAGATAATATACATACCAGGTTTATTGCTGCTTTAATCGCCCTCCGTATATAGCCTCGTTTCACGCTCTTGTACCGCATCTGTCCGGAGTGACCGCGGGTGCTTGTAGAGTCTCCTATTTTATGCATATCATTTTACCCCAAGTTCGTTTCGATATACTCCTTTACTTGAGTATTCCATTCGCGGCTTTTTATATATGGAAACAGGCTTGACAGGCTTGATATCTTTTGCCAAGTTGTCAGGTGGTTTCTTAATCACGTGCAGAAGTAGAACACTACACTAACAAACTGGTGTACCACAACGACGTGCGTTTGGGTTCTACGTTTCTCTTTGGATCTTTTAGCAAAGGAAGGTGTTCGAACTTCATTTACCTGGAGATTCGATTGCTAAATATTTGGAATTTGTCAAGCACAAAGCACGATGACGTCCAAATGCTTGGATTGTGGTAAAGGCGTTACCGCAAGATCGAAGGCTGTGCAATGCTCTCTCTGTGATGGGTGGTTACACATTGCCTGCTGCGACATCGGTCCAGATCTTTATGATTACCTCCAGAGGACCACCTCCTCAGCTATCAGTTTCCATTGTGACTCTTGTCGAACTGTATTTAGCGATAGACGGGTGTTGAACTTAGTCCACGCGTTTAGCCCACGATCCATTCCTACTCAAACTGAGAACTGCACCTCTGCTAAACCGCCGGTATCTTCATCGCCTCGTTCGGCCTCTGACAGCCAGTTCCACTGGTAAACGATGTCGCGTCCCCTCGTCTTCGCTATCGGAGCCTCTGACACTTAGTGATGGCAGCCATGAGTCCAAAAAAAGACATATGCGGCAGTAGTGAGTGAGAATGTAGAACAAGCATCGGCTAGTACACGCGCAACTCTGCGAGTGAAGAAAACCAAGAGTGATTCTACGACTAAACCCAAGAAATCTTCCAAACTATAGCTGGCCCTCGATAGAGTAAGCCAGTTGGAAAACGTTCTCAAGAACAGCATGCCTCCCATGTCCCAACCCACTGAATACAATGAACCGCATCCTCGTGACCGTTGTTTGATCATCGTGAATGCTCCTGAATCCAACAAGGCTTCCCCGGCTGAAAGGATCCTGGACGACCAAGAGTTTCTGCGGCGAATGGTCTCCCTCCTTTTTGATGAAGGTGAACAAGGGATCAATATTGTCTCTGCTTTTCGTCTCGGAAGAAAGCAAGATGATTCTTCTAAAGTTCCTCCCCTCAAGGTTGTCTGTCAGAGTGAGGATGAGTGTCGCCGCATTCTCAGACGGACCCCACGTCTTAGGGTAGAAACCTTTATGTTTTGCGGGACCTCTGTCCGGATGATCGGATCCGAATGAAGAAAGCTGTTGAAGAACTACGAACACGCCGGGAAAATGGTGAGATGAACCTCCACATTGTGGATTTTCGTGTAGTTCAAAAAGCTCCGAGAGTTCGCTGGAGGCCAACATATGTCGCTCCCGGGCGGTAAGACCGAAGAATAGTTTGAGGGTGATCTCTGCTAATGTACGTAGCCTACGAAACAAACTTGATGAAATTCAGAACTTTGCCTATGAAAATCACCCAGATCTTATGGCTTTCACAGAGACTTGGTTGTTTTCGGACATCCTCGACTCAGAGGTGCATATTCCGGGGTATAATCTAGCTCGAGCGGATCGCTCTCGAAATAGGTCCGGAGGTGGTGTGATTCTTTACTGTAAAGAGGACCTCAGGGGTCATCTGGTTGAGGCCATACGCGACAATGAAGATGGGTGTGAACTTCTTTGGTGTCGGATACATGATGGATGCAAGTCTCTTATAGTTGGAGTTGTTTACAGAGCCCCCTTGGCTTCCGGAGCTAGCTTGCTGGACTCTATTAGTATGCACGGTAGAGGCAAGGATTATCTGATATTGGGAGACTTTAATACTGCTAGTATTGACTGGGATTTACTCCATTGAAATCTTCCCCCGAACTCCTTTGATGCTGTCTTCCTCGAAACCGTGCTTGCATGCCATCTGTTTCAACCTGTTACAATGCTCACCAGAATGTGTCCGGGTCAATCGCCACACATCCTCGACCTCGTGCTCACACCGACGCAGTCGGATGTTACCGACTTGACTGTTTTCCAACCATTTGGGAGAAGTGACCACTGCGTAGTTCCCCTTTGTTGGATGCGGCGTCTTACCATTCACGATCAGGGAGTATGCCGTCGGTACTTCTGGCGTGCTGATCCACTCCGTTTGAAAACTGCTGCCGGCGCTATGGATTGAAGTATCCCTCAGCACTTAGATGTTGCTGACGCTTGGACCCTCTTGTACTCCAAGTTCACTTCCCTCATAACTCAGGTCGTTCCACTTTGCAAAGGGAAACGTTTTTTTAATGGCCCTCCCTGGATTGATCGAGAGTTAAAATCCCTTATGCGCCGTCGACGCAAATTGTGGGATAAGTTCAAGACTACACAATCGCCTCTGGACTACCTTGATTACAAAGCGGTCAGGAATATCTGCACACTCAAAAAGCGAGAGAAGCGACAACAGTACGAGCGCCGCTTGGCTGAGGAATCTTCCACCGCTCCCAAATTACTGTTCTCCTATCTGCGGAGACGTACGAAAGCTGGTAATGGAATACCTGCGTTGTATTCCAAAGAAAATGATACCACTCTTCATGATGATGATGCAAAAGCCGGACTCTTGGCCCTGCAGTATTCCTCAGTCTTCTCGACTGAGCCACCGTTTACCTGTGATTTAGCGTCTGCGCCTTCATGTACTTTAGAACGCTTAGAAATCAGCCCCAAATTGGTTGCCAAGCTTCTTTCCGAGCTAAATCCGAACTCATCACCAGGTCCTGATGGGCTACACCCTTTGTTCCTCAGAACCCTAGCTGAGTACATCGCTGTACCTGTTTGCCAAATTTTTCAGCGGTCCCTTGATGCGCGGCGTCTCCCGCTTGCTTGGAAACTGTGCACCGTCAATCCCATATATGAAGGTGGAAATCGTCAGGACCCCGGGAACTATCGACCAATTTGCTTAACATCTATAGTTTGTAAAGTCATGGAACGAATCCTCAAGCGAGCCCTTCAGAGTCACCTTGACGGCTTGAATGTCATTTCCTCTGCGCAGCATGGCTTCAGGCGAGCTCGCTCATGTGTTTCCAACCTGCTCGTTGCCAGAGAGAGGTGGGGCAGGTCATTAGATGCCGGAAATCGCTTCATCATCATCATTATACACATCAGCTAGAGATGGAAAAGCACCTCCGCTATTGTGCCGCAATACATGAATTGGTTGGCGGCATCCGGTTTCGGATTTGCCTGTCACTGTGGCAAGCCACAGGACGCCTGCGCCTACAGAGGGACCATGGATGGCTTGCGCTGCACCACCCACAGCTCCAACCACATACCCCATATCCAGTGTAAACCCGAAGGAATAAGACCGGGAGGCATGCGAATGGGAACCACGTTTCATCAACGGAGCCGGCCCACACTCCTTTACAGGCAAACACAAGCACGCTGTATTTGGGGAATCAAGCGCACACAAGGCGGTGGCTGGACCGTAGTCCGCTCCACACTGAGTGCATGGAATCGCACTTTGAGCCTAGCACGGGCGCAAGAACCGTGCACCCCGTCCCCTCCAGCAACGACCAACTGTCTCCTGGAGCCAGTATGAACGATGTAGTGGGTAATAGACAGGTAGACACCTTGTCAACATACACATCAAGCGCAACCACACCGGGGATATCAAACAACAGCCATTCACTTTAAACGACAAGTTGAAATAAAATAAATCCAATAATGCATATAGATACGGTGGCATAACTCTTCGCTAATTTACCATATGAACTAAGTGCGTTAACAACAAATCCGTGATAGGTAAGAAATGTCCACAAGTTACTTAAAAATGCTACAAAACGCAACAAAATTACCGAAGATAAGCGCAATTAGTGTAAGCAACGTGGCCAGTTAATAGAACATTATTCAGGGAGGCAGAACAAACCAAATAAAGCGGAATGAAATTTATCCAGCTTAAACAGACCTAGTTTAAGTGTAAGTTGGTTTAGCCCAACTGCGGTGAAGAAGCATCAAGAATGCAACATCAGCCTCAGCATGGGGCACAATACATGAAATACATACATACATATAATACAATACACAAAGGTAAAATAGATACAACAGTTGCATGCCAGCTGAGCTACCAGCAACGGATAGGCATCGTTCCGGTAAGCTTCCAGCCAGCTACTAAGCAAAAAGAAAATTTTATTTATTTTTTTAATATGTTTTACCCTAAGAAATGAGATCGTAGGTGGAGGGGGAGACTAAAAGGGATGGGGAGGGACAAAGAAACTCACAGCAGGAACGCCACTGAGGTCGGCTCCTTGCCATATCAGCAAGTGTATCCAGCCAAACGTGTTCACCGTCTTTTGGACCCCAACCAGGGAGCCGTGAAGCTCCAACCGAGGCTAGCTCCGAAGTGATGGACTTCATTCCTCTGGACCAAGTCATCGCTTGGCCACCTCTCCTCTTCTTCCACCCATATCCCCGTTGAGCAAACAACGCACGTCGAGGGAGTCGGTGCGCTGGCATGCGTAACACGTGGCCGAGCCATCGGAGCCTGGTGCGTGAAATGACGGTGCTGAGCGGTTCAGATCCTTTTCCTGGACCGTAAACAAGGTGTCGAACACGCTCGTTACTCACGCGGTGTTCGCACCATATGTGAGCCAAACTGCGAAGGCACCGATGGTCGAACGTCGGTGCTTAG